GGACAAGCAGCAGGTTTCTACTGGATACATATGGAAAGGTTGTCCTTCTCACCTTGTGTCTGAACGGCCACGGGAGCAGAGCATCGTAGTCTCCTCTCATGACGACAAAGAACAGGGACACGTGGGTTCCTTTTCCTGTCCCATCCCCATTCAGGTAGACCCTCAGACAGACCTTGTAGCCATACTTTGCAGTGTAGAAAGCTGAAAATCACAACTCTTCATTAGTAAAGCCTCCTTTGAAAAAAAAAAGACCTAACGAGTGTTCTGACACACGGGACAAGGCAGTGTATGACGTGTTTTGCTCTCACAGAGAGGAGAACAGACACATCAGTACACCCTGGAGATTACAAGCAATGAAAATCCAGAGGTTGGAATCCTTTTAGTGCCTCAGGTCTCCGCGAAAATTACCTGTTATTAGCCACACAGGCATATTTTACCTAATCAAATTACTTCTCACATGGGAGACAACTGCTGCAGAAAGCTGTTTGGTACCACAGGCACCAAGCTGTGGGTTAGACAAGATGGATCAAGCAGATTTCACTGGAAGCAGCTGCGGCGGAGGGCAAATTGCAAAATGAAAGCCCAAAATAGAACACAACTCTGTGGAAGAGCGCATCACAGCTGCCCTGAATTACAGGCAGGAGAGCATGAGGTCTCCACCTAAACAGCATCTTAGTTTAAGGAGCTATTTTAAAGAACCTCCTGCCCACATGAGCAGAAAGCTGCACTATTCTAGAGAAATCAGTATTTTCTGAAGGACTGGGTGTTGCTAACACATGCATACGTCATGTTTTACCTGGTGAATACAAACTGACTGTTCTTCCAGTCACAGAATCTTGTAACTTCCTGCCAACATCTGTTATTTTCCACAGAAAGACCCCATCATAGGAAGCTTGCTCAGAGAACAGAAGACTCTTATGAAGACTGCTCAGGCCTGCATCCTTCTGTGTCAGACACCGGTGCAACTCTGCAATCTAGAAAAAAACAAATCAGTTCTCAATCAACCCCCCCTCTCCAGGCTGCTGTGCTGCAGAAGTAGCAAATGCTTCTGGAGACCTCATCTTCTGGAGGGTCTCCTTTGATTTAAGTGACAGCTACGTATCAACACGAGGCAAACAACTGGCTAGATGGTTGTTTGGTCTTCCAGGCATAATGCTGCTTTAAGAGGATCCACCAATTAAACAACCATCTTGCTCGCTCACAGCCTGATCATGGCAAATTCTGAACATTCAAAACTCTCACGAAAATCTAACTACCTAAAGATGGATTTAGATAAGAGATATTAGAGATTCCCATCTGAAAATTCATGCAAAACAACAAAAGGATCCTGTAGATGTGTCCAGAACTTAACACTTGACAGCTCAGATTCCTGTGCCCGTCCCTGTCCTGATCTCTACACCACCTCTCTCTGACATGTGTATTTGTTATCCATGAAACGAGCAAACAGACAATACTTATCATCACTATTTACCTTCAGCTCAAGGCCTCGTATTATATTTTGATCGAGTTCACTCTGTCTCCGAAAGGCTGTGATTTCCAAGTTAGAGGTCTCCACCTCTTTATTGAGCACTGCCACGATATTCTCAAACACATGTAGCTTGTTTTCTAGCTCAGAAATCACTTTCTCCCTCACAAGTTGTTCCAAAAGAGATTCATCTTCAGAAACAGAAGATCGAGGAAAACAGTCTACTTCCAGACCCCCATTGATTTCCAGCCCCCTTGGCATCTGCAGATCAGAGATGCTTTTTCCTGCACCGTTCAAGTTCAGCTCTGACTGCGGGACAAAACCATTTGCAGCTTTGGCAGCAGTGCACACACTTTCCTTTAGTTGCTTGATGTGCTGCAGTAGAAGCAGCATGTGGGCCCCAACTGCAGTTTTTTCATGCTCCTTTATCTTCTCTTTGCTTCCCTGTAAGAAGAAGACACTGTCAATACAACTTCTGCACAACTACCCTAACTGGCCCGGGGCCAAATCAAGCAACATTCCCTTTAAGTCCTTGGGAGAGACAGAGATGGAAGAACTGCAAGATACAAGTCCAGCTACATAGCAGCCAACTCTCGGAGGAGACGCAGAGGGAGGAAAACCAACAAGCCCTCCAATGATCAGTTTAGGTTATGTGTTCACGTGTGTACACATGCTACGTAAAAAGAAAACAGTTGTCTGCAATTTCTTGATTGAACAGGATGCCAGGCAGAGTCCCAGCAAGATTCTCAAATGAGCCAATATTTAATACACATACTGTGCACAAAAGAAGAGACAAGCAACAGATGCAAACTAAAATGCAAAGAAGACCCGTTACTGTTTTAAAAGATGTCACCCTGAAGAGACTATCCAAAAGAGAGTAGAACATGATAAAGCAGCAGAACTGGAATCGACATCTACTTTTATCTGAAGTGAACGCACAGTGCAGGATACGGCGCATCACAGGCTGAAGTAAGGCTGCACCTTACACTGTGTAACCATGGCAGTTCCACCATCACTTCTGCTGGTCTACTAAAAGTGGGTAGACTTTCCCACTTTTCTTAAACAGATATTTCAATCAAGGCCTACTGCCTTGAACACGAAGGCAAGCTAGACCAAAGGCACGGTGCTGAGTGCCTGACACCATCTGAGACCTCCCGAAGGCAGCCGTTTCACTCACCCTAAACGAACAGCCCACTTCAGAAAAACGGCATCCATCCATGCTGATTAAGGGTGCAGGGCAGTTCTGTTGAAAAAAAAAAAACCAAACCCAAACCAAAATAATCAAATACCAGCTGAAAAGGATTATTGTATTGATCTACAAACAACTAGGCCACAATCCCAGCAGCTATAAATCAGTTAAATCACATTAATTCAAGTCAAGGTGACCGCAGCTTACAGTGTCCAACTGGCTTTGAAAATTCATCGGTCAATCAATCCAGAGTGTGGTCGATGGCAAGTTTCTTGCACACAGCCTGGCAGCTGAGTGTCCATCTAACATCCCATAATCATCTAACACAATCTAACAAACCACAGTGATCCCCTAGTAACAACTTCTCATAAATAAGATGCCAGTAAGCAAAGCAGCCCACCACAGTGGACAAGACCATGCACACAGCCACTCCAACCCTCTTCCTGCTCCTGGAGAATGCACAGATGAGCTGTGTTGTGCAGCACATCCTGGGAATGGATGGATCTATCAGACCAAAAGCTCCGACTGACGTTCAGATTTAGCCTCCTTCACAACCAAAAGCATGTTTCTTTAAATATGCTGCTATACAGCACACCCTTCTGCTCAAGTGGTTCTCCCTGAATATTGGAAAGGAAACAAGCATCTCGTCATTTTTGTGAGATTAATTGAGAAGATAATTGGACTGTGTCCCTGCCCATGGCAGGGGGGTTGGAACTAGATGATCTTGGAGGTCCCTTCCAACCCTAACCATTCTATGATTCTATGATTCTATAATTTAATCAAGTTAATCATGGGACCAGGGAAGAGAAGGTAGTCAGCAGATCTATACTGGGAGGTAAAACGTGCCTCCATACAACTGCCACATCTGCAGACACCCTCAGATGTCCATTTCATCTAACGGACAAGTGAGACTTTATGAACTGAAATAAAGCTGTATTGCATTCACCCATCTCTTACCCACCTTTTCCTTTGATGGTGCTTCCGTTTGTACACGTTTTTGTTCCTTACATAAATTGCCTTCACATGAATGTTCCTGTTATTAAAACAAGAAGAAAAGAATTCAGTATGTTATTAAAATCCTCGAGCACCTTTACTTACGAGTCTTTGAAAGAGCACTTGTATTTGGGAACGCTATTCCCATTTTACAGAAACTTGGGGGTTTGGGCGGCTTTTCTACAAGAAATTCTGTGTTATGGAGGAAAAAGTTGACAATAAATTTCTTACTTTCTTCCTGGAAGGTGTGGATTTAAGGAAGGGTAAAAGAAGGAAGGGTAACTTCCCAAGGAGCACGATGAGCTCCGCAACACATGGTGCAAAATCCTGTACCCCTGTCCAGAGTGCCCGCGCTGGGTCTTGCCATGCAACGGCTGCAGAGTTCTCTGGCTTCTTTTTAGAGGAAATAACACTCAGAAATTTGGGGTTAAAGCACATCTGCTAAAAGTGGGTTCTGCTGTCCCCTGTACAACAGACTGCAGACTCAGAGGTTTCTCAATCTAAGCCTCTAAGCTGATCACTCTCCTTCCCAGCCTGGCAGGCGTGTTCCGCGACGGATTTCCAGATGCAATACCTGTTAAGTGAAAGTACAAAGTGCAATCTTTCGCCTATGGGCCCCAGAGCTTTTGGAAACCACTTACAGATGCTTTGTAAAGTCACCCTGGGGAATGTGATACAAGAGTGGCAGTGTGCAAGTCGTGCCCAGCTCAAACCATAGTTATATGCACACACACACACATATATGTACACACACAAATATATGCAATGACATGCAGGTGGATTACAGAACAGAAAGCAAATATACAGGAAACTCAAATATAAACTCTTCTTGCATTGACTTCATATAGTTTGCTTAATGTGCAGACCCTTCTTGCATCCTGCTTATTAACATTTTGAAGGCTGCAATCCAAATTTTCCATCGTGATGTGCTAATGCAAAAGGCATTACTGCTAATACGAGACTTCCTGCCATTTCTGGCTCCAAGAAGGGTAAAGTAATCCTCCTGCCATTGGTTCATACAACTGTAATACGTGTATTTAACACAGCAACTGTCAGCTTCCAATCCGTGCTGTTCAGGGGGTCTGTCTTTAATCCTTATAAACCCCTTTGCATGCCAGTACATTTCCTATAGCAGTCTAGAAATCTTTTGATAAAGCCATTCCAGCAATCTTCAAGTCTCCCTGACAAAAAGTCCTGAGGTTTCTCTTTCAATCCTCAGCCATAGGTTTTTCTCACTCTCTAACTCAATTTTGAATACTCTGTATCTTAGCTATTGCACAAAGTACACCTTAATTTTCTTCTTTTCTGCTGTTTGACTCCTTCAGATGGCTGATTTCTTGAGGGGGGAGAGGGGCTGGTGAGAAGTTTCTTTAAAATATGGAAAAGCAAAAATCACAAGACCAGTAACTGATTGGCTAAGATGGAGAGAGCAAGAGCAGCGCCCCAAAACTTACTATTTGCTCCCAGAGGATTGTGGACACAGAGAATGCACAGAAGTAATGAAAGTTCATCTTATATGTAACTGCTAATTTAATAAAGCAGATCACGTAACCAGCAAAATCCCAGTTTTACAAATAACAACTAAAGCAGGCAGAGAAAAAATCAACATCTCAAGGCCAATCCTCTGCTTGCTTGCCAAGGTTTCCTAACCAAAAAATTAATTAGATGATAGCTAACCAGAATGAGTGGGCGGAAAACATTTCTTTATTGCAGGAAAACGAAGCTCGCTGAGGTGGATCTGCGGTGTCAGAGACCTCTGAAAAGAGAAAGGTGCTCAGGGAACACACAGAGCTCAGGTTTCCTGCTCCAGTGCCTACTGCACCTACAGAAGGCAGAAAGGGATTAAGTGTTGCCACCTTCTGGTATTTATGGTCTCTCTGAAACATAAACTGGATATAGCTCTGGTAAAATGGGCCTGGGTCCAGCTATCCTCTCTCTGTAAGTTAGTAAGACATGAAGAGCACATGCAAAAGCTTCCCAAGAAGCAAGAGTGCCTTATTCTTACCCCAGAAGGACCGTTACCCCACGTCAAGTCAATCTCACAGCTCAGTATTTGGAAAATCAGTGACAGTTCCAACATGCAAAGCTATCCACTCCTACTTACTTCAGGCTACGTTTCTGAGATATTCACAACAACCCTCCTGCCAGGTAGGTCTTATATCACTGTACCTCCATTCCAGGAGAAAACTCCAAGGCTGGCAATTATTCTCTTTAAATCATCTGGAGGGAACAATATTCATTATGCTACACCCCAAAAGAGTGTTGTCCAACACTTCCTGCTATAACAGAGCCCACGGGGTCTGAAGTCTGGGATGAGAATGTTTTCAGAGCTCTCAAATCGAGACACACCTAGCAGTGTTAGCAGGCATGGAGCATCTCTCATTCACGCTGCTATTGCTTTGCTCCAGGAGTTTTTAACCACTTGACATCCCAAACAACGGATGATGCACTTCCATGGTGAGGCTGAGAAGCGTGCCATTGAAACTACATCTGTGGCAATCTCTTTGTATAAAAACAATTTTCTGTCACTTTTCATCTGCCCCACCACACCATTTTCTTCTTCAGCAACATAGAAGAGTTTCTATTAGCTCACTTTATGCCCTCAGACCACTCTCAGCATTTGTAACCTGCTGCATCTGCAAAAATGAGTAAAAATAAAGAGCATCTTTTATTCAAGTTAAAATGAATGGAGGCACTTAAAATCTGCAAGTCAGTAACGCATCATGTTGCCCTGCTGTCATAATTTTGAGCATTAACTGAGTAAGTCATTACTTTTAAGAAAGAATGCAATAGATTTGGTAACATAAACTTAAAAAGTTTGATGATCAACTACAACCTTGTGGGAAAAAATAAAAAAAAGATTGTTTTAAAGAGGATCTTGAGCAAATGCTGGGGACAGACTAGTGTTATCCTCTGTGTGTGTATATATATACAAGGTATAGATGCATACGTTTTGCAAGTCCCTGTCACAACAATGGGAAACAGAACTTAAACATAAAAAATATAAAGTAAATACGTTTAAATAGTCACTGAGAAATCTGCAGCACATTCAGAGTATGCTCTTCCTGCTCTATATGTGGACACTGCTGCTAATTTGGAGAGCTACACCTGATTATGTCTAATAGAAATACTGACAAAATCCTGCCTTACAAATTTGTAGGTGGTTATAGTTTGAATAAAACTCCAGTGACTTTCAAGATCTCTTCTCTGCCACTGTCTGTGTCCTCCTGCCTCTTACCTACCTCAGACTGGGACATGCTTTGAGACAGGAGTGAAACCATGGGCTGCCCAAGCCCTGGCTGAGCACACAGATATTTCCCTCTCTGTTATAGCATCACAAGCAGACTATCAAATACAGCTCATCTTCCCCTCCAACACACGCATGGAAAAATCAGCAAACTCAGCAAAATTCAATATTCTCTAAGTGCAATAGCATTTATGAAATCAGGATGAAAAACGTCATGACAAATTATTGAAGCCATTAACATAAAACTTTCACTTGAAACAGAGAAATGTTCTTACTTGGTATTCACTGCTGGACAAGGGCTGCTTACATTTCTGACACACTGTCACGTTGTTAACACATCCATTTTCCAAATGGTCTGCGAGTTTCTTTCTCATCACCACGTGCCCACAACCAGTGTGACAAGGGATTAAAGCATATTCACATAAGCTCTGGTGCTCCTGCAAGCAAAAAGTTATAAACCAAAATGTAAACTGTAGATATGCATTTCTCTATAAATAGTCTCCATTCTGCCAGACTAGAACTTTGCTTTGCATTTCTGCTGAGCTTGGTAAAGCCCCACTCCACAATACTACCAAGATTACTGGTGAAAAATTCACCAGCTTTCCTGGGGCTTTTTTTTTTAATTCTTAACTTAAGAAAACCCAACAAACAACTTTTGATAAATTCAAACAAGAGATCTGCCTTGAACTGTCTCTCTCTAGTGCTTTTGTTTGAAAACAATACCATCCTGGTCCCAGCTTTTTCCCTTGTCTTAGAGATCTCTAACTTTTAGCCTGTTGTTTTGGTTTTTTTTCAGGGTGGTTTTCTGGTTTTGGGATTCTGTGGGGTTTGGGGTTTTTTTTGTGCACTGAGACCATCCTGCTCTGGCTGGTAGGATGAATGTGGTTATTCTGCTGACATCTCTGCACAGCGTAAAAGAATGGACATCTGACACCTTCCATGCAACAATTAGGACACAACCCTTACCCATATTCAAAATAACTTTTAAAACATTTCCTTTTCACTATATTTGCACCCTCTCATATCAACAAGAAAAAAATATCAGCATTACTTCTACCATAACTACATCCAACTACTTTCAGATTCTTAGAAACATGGTATTTCAATAAGAACTATTTATTCTGACCTCTTTTCCTGAAGCTTCCGCAGGCACTGTGTCACAACTGATTTTGTCTTTCAAGGGAGATGGCTGTGCCTATAGAACAGGCTCAGAAATGCCAATTTCAATCACACGCCCAACTCTCAAATCAATTTTGCTGTGTATTCATGCCAAGAGGGGCTCCAATTCTCAAAACTAGGAAGCTAAGCAAACTGGGTAGATTTTTCCTTAAAGAGGAACACACTCAAATAGAAAATTTGTGCCAAATTAGCAAAGAAAAGGCAGCACCTCAGTTACTTATCAGATACACAGCCATACAAGGTACACAGCAGACTCTCTGTTATAAATACAGAAAAACCCTCTGTTCCTACACCAGGGGATCAAAATAGAGCTAATTTAGTATCAGAATTATCTGTATTTTTTCATTATTCTAATTTGCATGGCAGATTCACAAATCTTGCCCATTTAAATATTTCACCCAGAGCATTTCACATCAGTCTGAAAAGAATGATGAGCACATTCAATCAATAGGAGTCCTTTACGCAGGAGGAAATTACTTCCCTTATAAAAACATGCTCAGGATATTGCCCATAACAATGTCCTGGAGACTGAAGTATTCTGGTCTGTCAAAACCTGCTTGCAGCATCCTTGCATTTAAATAACAAGTAAACCCACTGGAAAAAAAAAGATCATAGTTGATGTAAATTTGTGCAACAGTAACTTCACAATCATTCGGGATGTTCTGGATTTAGTCAAAGCCCTACTAAAGTTAATGGCATGTTTTCAGATACTCTGTTGGTATAAATCATGATACCTTCACTGATTCTATTGCTGTTGGATTAATTTGAGTTTGCTGAGAACCTCATTTCATTGTCTTTCCGTCCCCATTCAAGAAAAGAGTGCATGTTAACTTAAATGAACTGCCTCTAAACGTACTTCGAAATTTTTCATGATACCAGACCAACTGCATCCAAGGGTCACACAGTGTACTTGCAGTTCAGAAATCTCTTTGTTAATGGCAGCATCACCAAAAGCCTGGAAATTAAACACAGTAAGGAAAAAAAACACTGGTCAGAAAGTACTCCAGCATGTACTTTTGACGTAGGAATAAGGTGATTGTGTCACGATTTCAGATCTTGAAAAACCCCTTATTTTTTTTTAAATTTACTGTATTGCTGTAAGACTCTCTAACCTAGCAAGTGAATCTTAGTGTAGCAGGAGCAGGAGCCTATTAATAATTTAATAACTATTAAATAATTTCTTTCTTACGGTTCGAAAATAAGCTGTTTGATGTGATATAAATTTACTGAAATTAAATAGCCTAGCCAACTACAGCTATTATTTTAAGTTTCTTTTCACAGAAGCCTGAAATATGTCACAGGCAATGAATGTGCTGACAGGACCCCAACTCTAGGGTGCTGCCATGTGCCACTCTTAATGCATGCATTTCATTACTGGGGTCATTAACACCTCCTAAACGTGCTGCAGAGAGGACTCAGACTGTTCTGCAGTGAGAGCACATTTCTCAGGCCATGGCTGTTTCCATTTAGTACGGCACTATGCACTGAAGAAATAGAAACCATATGTGAGTGGGGGACTTTTGCACTACGTCGATTTTTTTATTGAGTTAACCATGAAAAATTGTACAATTATGTAAATTATGAAACACTACACACTTTTAATATTACATCTTGCACGATCAAAATAGGTTCACTGACAAAAGGACAAGCCCTACTGAAGTTCATGGCACATTTCTAGATACTCTGTTGGTAAATACACAATACAGAGGACTGCAGATTTCCCATGTAACCACACAGAGCAAGGCAAGAACTGGGGCAAGAGGAGCTTTACAAATAGAGGGAAGAAAGTATTTCCAAATGATGCCCACATTTCAATAAAGTTGCTGAAATTCTACACAATGAGCTAAAAAATATAAGCAAACAAAAAGATCAGAATCAACATTCCTCTTTTTTTTTAATCTAGATACAAGATGCTTGTACTTACCTAAACTTGTCATATTAAATCCCACAAAAGAAGGACAGCCAATTCTACAAATGGTATCAGTGAGATATATTTCTATATGCAGAGTCTCACAGAAATTAATTTCCTAATCTCTACCTGCAAGCAAAGTCCAGAACTTTGCACACAAACGGCAAACAACTCCACAAACAAGGAACTAAAAAATAATCGTGTAGGCTGTATGAAAACACGTGTGGCTTCATCTGCATCTGTGGCAGAGTTTATGTAATAAGCTAGCAATCAATGTACAATTAGTGAAAGCATACCAGCCTCATCCTCTAAAACATCCTACTCTAATTTGTGTGCAAAATCAAAGAAAAGAAATTCAAGTTATCGGGCACATGGTGGCTTTTTCCCCCTGTGTCATAAGAGAAAAACTCGAGGAATTTCCTGACATTACAAAACAGGTCATTTAAAATATATTTAACTAGAGGGACAGTCCCAGCAGTGCATGGGTTCCTTACTGCTATGTGCATTCCCCGTGCTTTTCGTATCACACATCTAGGTGCTAAATGATTATGGACACTACTCAGGTAAAAAAAAGGCCAGGAAATCCTCATCTCCTCTTTTATCCGCAGAGGTCACTACTTCAAAATATTCACCTGAACCTCTGCCCTCTTATCTGGGAACCTGAGTTTGCCCAGAACTTCTTTAGGGACCTGAGTCAGATGCTCATTCAGTAAATGAGATGACTCTTGCTGACATAAAAGCTTTCTGGGTCAAACAGAAGGAAACAGAAAATATTTCTTTCTGATCTGATATATTGTAGTTGCACATCTCCCCTCCTCCATTTTAGCTATCTCAAAGGAAGATGTCGGTGCAGAGGCTGCTGATGGTGATCACGGGTGGCTCTCGTGGAACACAGACCTGCCCAGGGCTGGCTGTGACACAAGTGGGGGTCCCCTGCCCCATCCCAGAACCGCTGCCAGAGGCACTCCTTGGCGCTCTCACCCACACAATGTGGATCCTATGGCTTCTGGCTAAGGGAGGACTCTGCTCTACAGCTCATGCGGTCATGAAGATCAGCTAGCAACAAGTCTAGCAAATGGATCAATGTGACCAAAAGCTTTCCAGGATAAATCCAGTGGTTGTTTTTTTTTTTCTCTCCAGCTAATGTTGGCCATCTGCAGCTGAACCAGGATCCTCAGTTGCTCTAACACAGCTAGAGAGGGGAGAGCCACAAATCGGCTGGTGTCCAGTGCAGAGCAGAGAACTGTCCCCTGAGCCAGGCCCACGAATGACAGCAGATGGGATGTGAGCAGAGGCTTGGGAAGATGCTCCTGCTCCTCCAACTGATTTCAGTGACAAATGCAGGTGCTCAGTAACTGATACTGATGAACAGAACCATGATAAGACTTTGTGTTGTATAGGAAGGGATCATAAATTAAAAGTGTAAGAGGGAAGGGATGGGAGTCACCACAGAAACAGATCATGGGATAAGCTAAGGCAAATACACATCCTGATATGGCCTTTCTTTTCTTCATGTAGTTATCTTATTTAAAATATAAACACATAAACAGCATAGGAAATAAACATTAAGCAAAACCACAGCAAAAGTAAAGCAGAGATTATCAGGAACAGATCTAAAGAACAAATCTGCTAAACAATCTTCATTATTTGTGTCGTGTAAAAACTCCAACCATTTGTTTTAAGTTGATCTACACAGGCAGATCCTCATGCCTTCCTGGTGACTGACTTCATGTGGACCCTCAACAGGCGTAAGAATCTGCCCAGGCAGATCAGCTCGCAAGAGTGGGGCCATGTTTACAACAACCCACCCACAGATTCTGCAGAAATCCCAGCAGACTTGGTCAGAATCCCACAGCAGAGTAATCCCAAAGTTACTGACAGTCAACATAGGATACAACGTTCGCAAGGGTTTATCTGCACCTATTTGTGGTTACATCATGCATGAAATTCTATACTGGGACATTTATTGCAGAATTGAGCATTTTTTCTCAGATCTTACCAAGTTCAGCATTAACTGCAGATTTATTATTTTGTTGCAGTTGCTTCCTAAACTTCACATTTACCTCCCTGCCAGCTGCCTACTGGGTTTTGGTTTTCCCCAACAAATTTAGACAGAATGTGTGTCTGTTGGTATTCCTGCATGTAATCAGAAAGGACGGAAAAAGGCAAGCTGGGAGTGAGCCCTATGGCCCAGTTCGTATTCAGGATACAGAACAGAGCAGTGGTCTGCCTGGAAAACCACACAACAGCAAAAGAGACCTCACCGTTAAATTACAGACGAAACATTTGCCAGTGCATAGTTTTCATCAGTTATTATGTTCTACGTTTTCCACTATTTCCTCCAGATACCCTGGCTACCAAAATAATTTCTGGGCAATTCAGCTGGCTAGCCAACACTCTAGGTTTTTTCTTAGGGATGCGCCACCTGTAAGTTTTAGAATATATTTGAAGGTGCAGAGAACCGTGAGACTGAAAAATCCACTAGGATACTTAGTAAGGATAGTGAGTAACAGCTAAGACATATTATTACAAGTAGGAAAGTACTGGTTACTTTGAGACAATAACAAGTTAATTATTTGGAAGAGGGTGGGATTTTATGTTGCAGAACCTGAGGGACTTGGAAAGTCCTAAGGCTGCCATTCTACTTTTTCAAATCAAAAGCTGTGGGAAATCCAAATGACTAAAGCGTAAGTTAAAATGTGTAACTATCAGTTGCTATCACATTTTTTATTATTCCCTTCTAAACTGTAGCCCAATGATGACTATAGAGTAGCCAAAAGAATGGTTAATGAGAAATTAAATGATCCATGAACTGTAATTTACCCTTTCTTCTGCCAATAGGCTTCCTTCACTTAAAGTGCTGGGATCTTCCTCTTTACATTTCTGGCAAATGGCATTTTTGTTGTTTCTGGCAAAAAAAAAAGAAGAATGAAATAACAATCAGTTGGTGTACTGTAGTTTAGGAGGTCTTTGTATAGACACTGACACAAATAAAACCATGGAAATTTCCACTCAAAATCCATAGCTTTTGTTCATTAAAGGGCCAATTCTTGAACACACTGATGCCAAAAACTCCTGCTGTTCTACTCCTCAAAACTAGGACTAGGCCTATATGTTTTATCTGTATTGCAGCAAAATGAGAGAGCAGCCTGGATCACAAAAAAGAACAAAGCTGGGAACCTATTTATCTCATGATTATGCAAAAACACAATGTAGGAAAGGTAAGATGAAAACTAAAGTATTTTAAAACACAGAAAATGCCCCTTTTCCCAAGATAGATACATAGACCTCAAATTACAAAGATCTAGTAGAACCAGCGCAGAATTGAGTTCTAGAGAGTTAACATCCTACTGCACCTGAAAAAGGGTTTGATCTACTCTCCAAATACTTAGCACAGAGTTTTATATTGGAAAAGCGAAAAAAAAAACAACTTTACTAGCGGTGTATTTCATTGCCAGTGCTGTTTAGCATCCAGGCAAACAATGAACTACTACAGACCAAGCAGCTCACCATAAAAACATTCATTCAACCAGCGCATAACTGATTTCAAACTGCACTAATTAGCTTGTTTGAGCCAGTTTCCCATTTGTGCTGTAAGACTCTGGTGGGAAGATGTAACAATTCCTGTTATGTCCTGCTGGCAGTTTTCTGAATTTACAGTTTATGTTGCTTCATTAAGAGGCTTTGTTCTAGATTACAGTAGCAGATTTATGTCAGTTGGTCAAATATATATTAATTTCAATACATTTTTACATTACTACACGTTGATCTTCAAATCCCAGGTGGCCAGTGCATTGACTCAGCTTTTCAGGTGCCCCACACTGATCAGAGCTGGGACTGCATGAACTGGCACACACAAAGTAGCTTAGTAGTAACATCCATGAAGAAGCACCGTTAACAGGCTTCCGACTTACTTAGCCAGTACCAAAGCCCACTCACTGCATCTTGACAGCTGCTGCTTTCCAAAACATTAAAGCTAAAGTCAGCTCACGTACACGGAATTGTACTGCAATTTCACCTCTCTCCTGCAGGGCAGACATACCCTTTTCCAAAGGCTCTGGATCAAGGTGTAATTGTCGAAAGAAAAGGCAGGATAGAAGCAGGCAATCGATCAAAGCAAATCCCCACCCCGCCCCTGGTTTTAAGGTTCTCCAGGACAACGGCTGTCATTGTTTGTCACTAATGGCAGCAGCACCTTAACATGTAGTGAACCAACTAAGTTAATAAAAATAAAACTCATTAAAAAATTAAAAATTAAAATCCCATAACACCACTTATGAAAGGACTGTGAAGTCTCATGCAAGCATTAAGTCAGCCTTGCACTAGTTCCCCAAGGTTAAATCAGCATCATTGCCTCAGACACACAGAAAAACTGACATCTGTCCAGCCCAGTAACGCAGCCTTTCCCACCCTGGAGATGTCCACACTGAAACGAGAAGGAGGTAGAGAGTATCCTGCAGTCCATCGCAGCTAAGAACTTCCAGACAGTAAAGTGACTGTGGTCCAGCGGGCCAGGTAGCCACAGACTCATCCACTGAGCACAGTGGTACAACACAGCTCTTGGGAGCACCTGCAGCTGCAGAATCCACCATGGCAGTGGGACCCTCTGGAGCAAAGACCTACCGTACAATCCAGGAGAGGCAGGCGGAGCAGTACCGATGCCCACAGAGCGTTTGCAGGGCTTTCTTCAGAACGTTATTGCAATTGCTGCACAGGTACTTCTGATCAGGCACATCCTCACAAATGTTAGTGGGATATCCGAAAGGAAATTCATTTTCATCGGGAGAAGAGCCCAGGACATCCTGCGGGCCTCTGGTTGTTTTCTCAGCCATCTGAAGTAAACTACTGTCAGAGATAAGGAAAAAAAAAAATAGGTGCTCAAACAAGCAGACACATGCTCACTTTGATGTGAGAGAATATATCAGGCATCAAAGTCCACGAGCAGCTCCAAACTTGTGCAGTAATCTGGTGATCTGTTCAATTGAGTCTGTAGCTGACATGCGTGACTAAATGTCACAGTGGGTTTGACTGGGTACCAGCAGGAAATTACTGTACAGATTTAAAATTTCCCTCAAATACAACATGAAAATGGACAATATATTAAAATGAAGGCTTGGGGTTTTCTTCCCAGAGTTTTTTGGCTTGTAGAAAGATGAAGTAAATATTGCTGTCATCTTTGAGCTACAATCCCATCAGTCCACATCACACAGTATTATTTCCTGTAGAGTAAATCCCCAACTACCTTCAATTCCCAGCAGCCAAAATTAATGATTAATCTTCATAGATGCAGAAACCGAGCAATCGATGTGTTTATAGTGGCTTCCCCGAAGACATAAAACTAGTAGCCAAATGAGAAAGGAAATCTCAAGTTTACGAAGGGCCTTGTGCTTGTGCTCTAACCAGATACACGTCGAGCCACGCACGCCAAGGTGCCCTGCACGTTCAATATTGGGTCTGGTTAACAAGAGCTGTGCAGTTGACTAGCTTCAGAGATACAACCAAAACTGATAGGAGTGTCTCCACAAGTTCATTGCAAAGTTCAAGAAAAGTTTTCAACCAGGGACCTGGCAGCTTGAACACAACAGTGCCTTTATAAACCTATTTTTCCCACAACGGTACTGACACACAATAACCTCAGTATTATTAAAAGCAGCTATGACTAACGAATCTCTAAAAAATGACGGAAGATGCCCGGCCAGGCGAGGCACAGAGCAGCGGGGTGATGGCCATGCGGTGCACCGGGCATCCCCCGCTCCTCCTTGAACCACCAGCATTTCTGGTGCCTGGCTTAGGCAAATCGCTCGGCCTCCCCAGGCGTTTGACAGGGACTTCAGCAACACACGCAGGAGCTGCCCGACCTGCCAGGAAC